AGGAAATCAAGAAGAATAAGATGTTATTATCAGCAGCATCATGGCTTCAACAAACTGCTGATATTGTGGAAATTGAAGGGACAATTTTGGTAAGATATTTGAAACTATGGGCACTTACTGAACATGCAACATTTTGACAATGTGCGCACGCACACACACATGAAGTTCACTCTTGTTCTGTTTAGTTGGGATTTCTTAACCTAAACAGTTGATGCATGAATACAAAGTATGCAAATAAAATATTAAATACAAATTTAAGGTTTTTTAAAACTCAGTTGTGTTAACTACTATACCTGCTACTACTATTACTGTATCTAAATCTAATTTTTATTAAAAATATTAACGATATTCCATAAATTACAAATGTCTGAAAACAAAATCCTCAGATAAATATGAGATATAAGAAGGATGAGGTGAGATCAGAATAATATACAATAAAGAATATGGTGATTTATATAGGTTGATAGGCTAGTGAAATGTAGAAGAAAGTATCCAGCATGCAGAATTTTGATGGGGACACTTCTTAGTACTCATTGACATAAAAAACTAAGAAAGAGATGGGAAGATAATATTAAGATAGCTTTTAGGAACACTTCTTAGTACTCATTGACATAAAAGACTAAGAAAGAGATGGGAAGATATTAAGATAGCTTTTAGGGAGAAATGTGTGAGAGTTGGAGACAGAAGGAACAGGCTCAGATTGTATCCAGTGCCAGCGTGTGGAAGTGAAGACATTACACACTGTTGTCAAATTAAATTATAGTGAAGAAAGGGACATGAAGATAAGAGGAGACAAAACTCCATAGAAATTCTTGTACTAATACAGTAATTAAGAGGTGAAAGGCATCAGTGTGGTTACTTAAGAAAAATTGTTGCATTATTATCATAACCATGTAGGTGCAGGAAATAAACTTGTATAAACAGTGGCAGACACTACTAAGAATCCTGCACTAGTCGAAACTTCCTCAAGTATTGTTAGTAGGTCTGACAGTCCAACAATGAGAACAGTTTTTCAATTTGAAATTTACAAATTATGTTGATCAGTTTGTTGAAAATTGTTCATAAATTAATCCTTTCTGTTACAGATAGCTGCTGAAATGCTGTATCAGAAAGCATGGAACAGCTTACAAGATCAGTCACAAATGCCCCACAACATAATGATATTAGAAAAGTTTCTCGAAGCATATTTTGGTGACACCCTATGTGCCAGAAGATTGCACTGTCCTCTCACAACCACTAAGGAAGAAAGTATGGGAACAAATATTTCTAACAGTGGAGGAAAGGAAGTTGATATGCCAGTTTCTTCTGTGATGAATGATACTGAAAACAGTGATTTTGAATCAGATTTTGAAAACTTGACAGCAGTTACTAAGATTCCAATTCATGTTCCACCCCTCCTTGTTAAAAGCAATAGAAAAATGTCAGCATCATTTCCTGGCAGAAGTTTAAATATGCGGAGGGGTGTAAGAATTTCGAGTGCCTTTGAACTTCCAATCAAGCATGAACATTGTCAAAAATTAATTCGGTTTAATTTTGCTGGAGCCAATCCTATGTCTAAAAGACATTTGAAACGTCGAATATTGGATCCTCAACATGCACAGCTAATGTGTCAAAGTGTTTACTTCAGTAAGAGTTGTCAGGTGGAATGCATAGGGAAATTAGTGCGCAGACATCGCAGAGCCACATCATCAGTAACTTGGTTATCAAACATGATGGCAACATTGTAATTGGTGAGCCACTGACTGAAGTTGTAATTTTGATTTTACAAGACTGGGTGAAATGAATTTTATGACCTTAAATTCATGTTTTATGGTGGTAGATAATTGTAATTACTGTAATTATGTAATATTCACAGTCCCAAATATTTATTAGTGATTATATAATTATGATCAACTACCAACTGTCTCAGTGAAATGTGAAATATGTACCAAATATGATGTGCAGTAATTTCATAATCTTCATCTTAATTATTTAGTAATCACTAGGGTTCGGATGTTCATGACCTAAAAAACCAAGAAATATGCATGCAAATATGCCCCAAAAAGCAAAATATGACCTAATTTCTTATGAAAAATTATTCGCTAAAATTTAAAAAAAGCGTTTTGCATTTCAGTCATGTTATTTATTTACATATGCTTGTACAACTATTACATTACTTGACTTCATAGTAATTTTAATCAAAAATCGTAGTCGCTTTAAGTTGTAAATGCCTCGTTTTGGATCAGCATCAGACGTTGAGAATACGTGCTCCTATAAAAATAAGATAAATTTTAAGAAAGAGCCTTTCATGCATTTCAAATTCATTAATTACAAATAAATAAATAAACAGAATTCAAAATATTAAGTACCTTTCTTCACGGACAGCGAGTCTCCTGCAGGAGTTCAGCTGGGAGGTGTTTGATCATTCACCCTACAGCCCGGACCTCGCTCCCAGTCATTTCCATCTTTTCCTACACCTCAAGAAATTCCTGTCCGGTCAGCGTTTTGAGAATGACAGAGAGGCGGAGATGGTTGTCACACAGTGGTTCCAATCCCAGGCGGCAGACTTCTACGACACAGGTATTCAAAAGTTGGTCCCACGGTATGACAAATGTCTCAATTCCGGTGGCGAATATGTTGAAAAATAGCTGGACACTTGCTGTATCTGTTGCAATAAATATTTCCATGAAATTGTGTTTCGTTTCTGTAAACGGCCCCAGGGAAACTTACTTTGTGGACGAGCCTCGTAACTTGAGACATCACAAACTTTTCATGGCGTTATCAAAAATTACAGTGATAAAGGAGTGGTTTACTGTATCAAGAAGGAATAAGTCACCAGGACGGTCAGAAAAGAGCGAGCCAATAACCACATTCGCTACATATCTGCCGCAGACATCCGTTGTTTCATCAATCGAAACCCAAATCTTACAGTATGTATAATTCTTTTTAGAACATCTTCATAACAGGCAGGTACATAGTTTTTTTTGCAGTATGAATTCGCCTGGAATTAACTGAGTCGTGTATTTCTTCAAGAAAGTTTTGAACTGCTCATTGTTTACTTTGTTTAATGGTATGTTGGCAGACAACATCATTTCACAGAGGTCCTTTGAAAATTCTGATGTTTTGTTTGATGGTGGAGGTGTTGCAGTGTTATCGAACAGAAGTTGTTGCTCGCTTTGATGACTGGTTTGTTGGCTCAATTTATTTTTATGTTTTGCTGTATTAAATTAAATCCCTTAGCAGCTGTAACTTTAACTTCACAAAGTTTACAGAAGGGAATTGTTCCATCACAACTAAAATATTCCTTGCTGAAATCTTTAATGAAACCTCTTAACTTCACACTTTCATAACACTTCACTTTCGATATCAACCGAAGGATTCACTGTAAGTGTCTGAGAAATGTAGTTGCAAGTAAAAGTTTATACCCAAAATATGAATTTGATCCTCAAAATATAACGAAAATATGCATTTTATCCTCAAAATATAACCAAAATATGCATTTAACTATAATATGACCAAACACATAAAAATGACCTAAATATGCATTTATATGCAGAATAAATAGTCTAATTGTGATTAGTGTTTAATTTCAGTTTAGAATCAAAATAGAAGCCCCAATAAAAATATGACATGTCATGAACATCCGAACCCTAGTAATCACCATTTAATAGCCAGCATTATCAAAAAACTATCAAGTATTAATGATCACCATCTTATGACCACCATTTAATAATCATAAAATGATAATTTAATAACCATAATCAAATCATATAATAATAATTATGATCATCATACTGCTACTGACAGCAGCATGAATAGTTCAGATGACAGCATGGTCTTGGCTGAAAAACACAAGACACATCAAGAGGCCCATAAGGTGTTCTTCAATTACACTAAAGTGTAAAGAACACCTAAAAAGGAAGAATGCAAACACATGATACATGTAAGGTCATTGGAAGAATAGGTGCATGATAAAAGGATTTAAATTCTAACTGACGACCAGGGTTCGATTCCCGACGGGCAGAGGATTTTTCCTGTAGCTTCTGAATCTATACCGGTCTTATCTTCCCTGCTTCCTTCCTGTCCGGAAGATACTATAAAAGTGGTCCGCGACATTTGACCCGCGACACACCCTAATTTGTCAAACACGCATTCCGACACATCACAAAATTTCGCCTCACAAAAAGGGGGTACGAAACTGTACATGGTCATAAATATATCTTCATACACATGTACATATTTCCCTTTAAGACTGAAGGCATATGAAAACAAAACATAACAATGTTGGACACAATTATCGATCAAGAACCCGTGTCTGTGTGTTTTTGCAAATTCTAATCACGAAAGACAAGAAATTGCCTTTTTATAACTACAGCGTGGGAAAATAAAATTAATTATAAAAATTCACAGGAGATCTCCTGAAAACTTGCGGCCCACCGGTTAAGAAACAATATATTAGGAGACTATATAGCTCTTAAGGCATTTAAGCAATTAATAGCATGACAGAAAATATTTGTGAATTCGCATCCTTTCGTTTTTAGAAACTGAATATAATTAAATTAATAATTTAGTGTTTGTTTCTTGCACCACACTAACTTTAACGTGTCAGTTACGAGGTCATGATGTCCTGTCATTTAACATTTTTTGTGTAGTCTGTTAAAGATAAATTTAAAAATTTAATCTAACATACATATAATCAAATTTCATGTTCTCATGGCAGTGAGTACGAAGATGGCTGTCTTCTGGGTTGTAGAGCCCTGTAGGTTTACCAACGTTTCAGAGGTCTTTGCTGCCTCCATCATCACCTTGATCATAGGGACAACAACTACAACCGAAACGTCGGTAAGCTTCTACCAGACTACACTGCGTAACAACCCACAAGACAGCCATATTTAATACACACGCAATTATAATTACAATTATTAAATCAGAGCTCACTGTTATCTAGTAAAAATAATAATAAATAGCATTATCCAATTCCTTCCGTTAGGAGCTTCTAGTGAAGAGCTTCTAATAAGAATTTTGACGGAATCGAAGTATTAGAGCCGATTTATAGACAATCTCTTCCGAGAAAGTAGCAAGTTGAGGACACTTGTGGAACCGCGAGTCTCAGATCTCCGTGTATCATAAATCCTCTTAGTTGCAACCCACGTCTCTTCAACTAATAGCTTTTATAAACCACACTCTGCCAGCTTTGTAACTTAATAGACCTTTATGAGTCACCAGAATCTTAGGCACTATTCATACCTGTGTTGCAATCAACTTCTGACCATTATACTGTATAAGGAATGATAAACCAACATCTGTATTCTATTTAGTATAAGACATATCATTAAAAATACCTACATATAAAATATAATTAAATTATATATTCGTACTGATGGCATTAGTTAATGTTTATGGCACATCTAGACAGTTATCTCGTTTGTATTAATAAATTATGTGTGTCATGGCATGCACCAGAAAAATTAAACGACAAATTATGATAAAATAATTTTATATGCACCACGTTATTTTTTGTTTAAAAATAAATCGTTTCTAAACATAAATATCCAGCATCTTTTTGATCTGAATTTATTTATTTATGGTTCAACAGCTCAGACTGTGTAGCGTCAAGTGGAGGAATCAATGAATGATGAATTTGTGTTACTGACATAATTAATTTAAGATATTTGCATGGAGAACTGAGTAAAACAACGAAATTCTTAGTCTGGATAGCCGGTATCCGTATATATGAGAAATGTCTTCTGGGTCGTGTCGTAATGTAATCTTGTAGGTGGTTGGAGGAACATATTGATTACATCTTTAGGGTAGAAAAGATCTAACCTGAATATGAAAGACCATAAACCTCATTTTGATCACAGTAAAAATCTGAAATATCATGACGTATGATTAACTCAACGTATCTGAATCCTTTTTCAAAAGTTAATAATCTTTTAGCAAATCAAAAAATTCCGAAACCCCAAAATTTATTACCGTAGACACAAGAGCCCTCCACTGTACCTTATATGAGTCACTGAAATCTAGTCCATACCCTACATTTTAATATTATCCTCCCATCTACACCCAGGTTTTGCTGATCTGTCCTTCAAGTTTTGCGACTAAAACTGTGTATGCATTTCTTATCACTTTCGCGCGTGTTGCATGTTCTGCCCATCCCATCTTCCTTCAATTAATTATCCTAATAATTCTGTAAAATACTACACAATATAAAGCTCCACATTATTCAGTTTTCTTCAGCCTGATGTCACATCATCCCCTGAAGACTTTGCTTCAGTCATTAAACTTAATTATTACACCAGATTACAGTACCAAATTTTATCGAAAACCATTAAGCAGATGTATCAATGCTGACGTTCATTTTGTAGTAAGAAGCAAAACAATGGAAAATTATCAGACAAAATTCACTGTTCTCATCTTTTCCCACAAATTAAATAATTCGGTTGAGTTTTACTGTTTTACTACGCTCCAGTTTATAATGATCTCATTAGCTGTGACAGCCTGTTTAAACGCTGTCTTCTGCTATCCAGATTGATTGATTCGAATCAAGGATTCGCATATTACTCCTTTCTGCTTTATTTGCAGCAGGGAGTACTACATTAATAAAGCTATATCACATAGCAGGCGAGAAATAATATTAGATTTTTACCGCAATTACACTTCAGTTACTTGGATCTTAATCTAATATCTGATTCAGTCGTTAAAATGCAGAGCTAAACAGCTGAGACTCCAAGTAATTGAATGGAATAATTATTTCTTATTTCGACAACTGACGTCAGCAGATCCTGATTTATTCGTCGTGTTCGCAAATTAATATAGGCCTTAATTTCATATCTGCTGTGTTTTTTGATAAATAAGGAATATAAAATTAAAGGGTCTTCGACTACTGGGCTCTTTTTCTGAATGTTTAAAATCAAGTTTTTGAGAAATGTCGACATTTTAATTTCCGTTGTGTGTAAAAGTACATAATTTTATAATTTATACTATCCCTAAAATATTATTACAGTGCTCAAATAAAGGACGTTTATATAGGCAAGACACGTAGCACGTATGTGATAAACTATAAATGCATTTAAAGTGTTGGTAGAAAAAAAACATGAAGTTAGGAGTCCACATGGAAGACCTAGGTGTCGATAGGAGGATAAAGGCGATTATAAACGTATCGTCTGAAAATGGAGGCAGTATGATCCTCCGGAGCCTTGTAAATTAACAGAAAACTACACGCCGCAATTATTCAGAAGGCCACAATCTAAAGTTTTTCGTTTTCGATACAATGAAGATGGAGTAATTCGAGCTGAAAGTATTATAAAGTTTTATCACTTAATGCCAGACCTTAAATAATTGTCAACGAACAAGGAACAATGTTATGGTGTTGTATTGCAAATCCACGTATGTCTGTCACATATTTCAATTTCTGAAAAATGTTTTGGAATTTGAGTAAATCTAAATCATATAAGATTAAAATTAATTTCGACGTCATAGGTCAGATATATGGGCAGAGAGATAACACAGCTAAATAGTCGACCACAATACACAGCATTATCAAAAGTAATATTAAATATAATATCACTTACAAAGCTGGTGAGGGGCAATTCCACTTTACGGGTGGTATGCGTTTCAAATTCCATGCAGGAACATGTAAAATGAGGGAAGGGACAGTGTCTTAAAATACTCCACAGTTGCTTAATCTAGCGTTCTTCCAGATTAATCATTATTAATCATTCTATTATAACATTTTCGACACCGTATAAATTAATCAGTTGAAACAGCAGTACCATAAAATAATCGCACACACAGTAATAGGTGATAATGGTAATTGGACGACATTAAGATATAAAATCCTTTCTTGAGTTAGTAATGACTAGGGTTTGGATGTTCATGACTTAAAAAACCAAGAAATATACATGCAAATATGCCCCAAAAAATAGCTAAATATGACCCAAAAGAGGAAAAATGTGACCTAATTAATTATAAAAAAATATTCGCTAAAATTTAAAAAAAGTTTTATATTTCAATCATGTATTCATTTGCATATTCATGTACAACTATTACATTACTTGATTTCCTAGCAATTTTAATCAAAAACCTCAGTCGCTTTAAGTTGTAAATGCCACGTTTTGGATCAGCATCGCATGTTGAGAATATGTGCTCCTATAAAAATATGATAAATTTTAAGAAAGAGCCTTTCATGTATTTCAAATTCATTAATTACAAATAAATAAATAAACAAAATTCTTGGCAGCATTACAATATGTAACGATGTGCTTTTTCAAGGTCTCAAATGAAAATCTTCTGAGATTATCGCACAATATGGTCTTGTGAGTTGAGAAGCTGCTTTCGACATCACAAACGTTTCATTGCGCTATCGGGAAGTAGAGCGATAAAGGAGTGGTTTACTGTATCAAGAAGGAATAAGTCACCAGGACGGTCAGAAAAGAGCGAGCCAATAACCACATTCGCTACATATCTGCCGCAGACATCCGTTGTTTCATCAATCGAAACCCAAATCTTACAGTATGTATAATTCTTTTTAGAACATCTTCATAACAGGCAGGTACATAGTTTTTTTTGCAGTATGAATTCGCCTGGAATTAACTGAGTCGTGTATTTCTTCAAGAAAGTTTTGAACTGCTCATTGTTTACTTTGTTTAATGGTATGTTGGCAGACAACATCATTTCACAGAGGTCCTTTGAAAATTCTGATGTTTTGTTTGATGGTGGAGGTGTTGCAGTGTTATCGAACAGAAGTTGTTGCTCGCTTTGATGACTGGTTTGTTGGCTCAATTTATTTTTATGTTTTGCTGTATTAAATTAAATCCCTTAGCAGCTGTAACTTTAACTTCACAAAGTTTACAGAAGGGAATTGTTCCATCACAACTAAAATATTCCTTGCTGAAATCTTTAATGAAACCTCTTAACTTCACACTTTCATAACACTTCACTTTCGATATCAACCGAAGGATTCACTGTAAGTGTCTGAGAAATGTAGTTGCAAGTAAAAGTTTATACCCAAAATATGAATTTGATCCTCAAAATATAACGAAAATATGCATTTTATCCTCAAAATATAACCAAAATATGCATTTAACTATAATATGACCAAACACATAAAAATGACCTAAATATGCATTTATATGCAGAATAAATAGTCTAATTGTGATTAGTGTTTAATTTCAGTTTAGAATCAAAATAGAAGCCCCAATAAAAATATGACATGTCATGAACATCCGAACCCTAGTAATCACCATTTAATAGCCAGCATTATCAAAAAACTATCAAGTATTAATGATCACCATCTTATGACCACCATTTAATAATCATAAAATGATAATTTAATAACCATAATCAAATCATATAATAATAATTATGATCATCATACTGCTACTGACAGCAGCATGAATAGTTCAGATGACAGCATGGTCTTGGCTGAAAAACACAAGACACATCAAGAGGCCCATAAGGTGTTCTTCAATTACACTAAAGTGTAAAGAACACCTAAAAAGGAAGAATGCAAACACATGATACATGTAAGGTCATTGGAAGAATAGGTGCATGATAAAAGGATTTAAATTCTAACTGACGACCAGGGTTCGATTCCCGACGGGCAGAGGATTTTTCCTGTAGCTTCTGAATCTATACCGGTTCTGAGGCTCACCCAACCTCCTATCCAATGGGTTCCGGGGTCCTTTCCCGGGGCTATAGCACCGCCGGGGCGTGATGCTGACCACTCACCCCCATCTAGTGCCAAGGTCAAGAATGAGTAGGAGCTATCTCCTCCTCCCCCCCAAGTGCCTACATGGTGTATAGTGGGACAGCTTTACTTTTTGTTTTACTTTTTACTTGTCTTCTGTTATTTCGAGCTTGTTATTCAGTATAATTCCTGAACAGTGTACTTGTGATACCCACACTCTTGAGGTTAAGAATCTATCTGTGCCTAGTACTGATTGTAAGAATCCCTGAGTTTGAATGAAAAATGTCATATGTCTACTATAAATGCCATTAAAGCAAATCAGGGGTGGAGCATTAATATTAACCATGTTAGCCCAGCGAATGCTGATATTACTTTGATGGTTCAATGGTACTCCATACTGGTATACAGGAGAACCAATCAGATAATGCACTGTTACAGTCCATTACAGGTATTGTTAACCCCCCCCCATTTTGGATCATATTTTTGGAAAAGCCATTCTCCACCAATGAAACATATCTCTGAGCAAGAGGAAAGCTTTATTATTTTAGTTGAATTTTCCCTGAAGATTGTAGGAAGTGAAATGACCAAGTGAAAGTGTGCAGAGGTCATTGTCTTTTTAAGAGTTGTAAACTAGCAAGAAGTGAAAAAGATCTCATTTCATAACATGTTGAATTAAACCCTGGTATCATGTGGTCAATGTCACTTTTCCAATTTAAGTGAGTGTCAATTTTGAGATCCAATGAAGGCCATCTTTGCATGTGTACATTCCTTAATAATACACGTTGTCATGAGAAAAGTTGTCATTTTCACATATGAATTCTAAGCAAAAATCATTGGTGACTATGCACATGAATTTCAACGTACAATGAAGCATCTAAAGTAAGCAATCATACAAATAACAGACTTATTTTACATATCTGTGGTAGTTTTTTCATACATAGAAATGTTCTTGAATACAGAATTTCTTACACATGATATGTTGTAACATTTTTTCTTATCATCATGAATACCACACAATTTAGATCACATGCATCACTGTTCTTTTGAAGCCATGTGACGCATGAGGTTATTTATAAACTTCTCAACTTTCTTCAAATCTTGAACAATTTCAGTTTTATACTGAAGACACTAGAAACAAAAGAATTCTGTTATATGCATAATTTGGTGTATGTATACTGTTACAATATTAATATCACATTTACAAACTTAATTTTTAAATGTTCTTGTCAATTAACTTACATCAACATCATCTGTTAACTTCAAGGATAGGCAGCCTTTGCTGTGTGTATATTTCATAGTGTATCGAATCTGGAACAGAAAGAAGAGTTACAGGTTTTCCTACCCCTCCAAAATCCTACCAATAGTGCCTTTGCCCTACAGGAGGGTAACGTCCTCGGATGGCAAACAGGGCTCTGGTCCACCAAAGCCAAGGTATGAGGTATCGTGCCAAGGGCTGCATGGCACTGAGATGGTGAAAGCAGTATCACAAACAATCCCTTTGGGGCACCAGGCAGCATCCCACTGTATCAATACCTTCTACTTGCAAGGGGCTCTGCAGGTGGTGACTTTTGTTCCCCGGTTCTTGTGGAATTATAACAGAACATGAGAGTAAAAGAGTAATGGAGGAAGCCACACAAAGGGGCTATCAGATATACAGTTTCAATCTGTAAATTGATTCTCAGTAGGGAGCCAGTACTTCTGGCATACCACCTCAGGAACCTTATGGTGCAAGCCAACCTGGGGAAGCTGAGAAGACAACTGCAGGTAGGGGCTCACCAGTTGTAAGACACCTACCAAAAGAGTTCTGTTACAGAATCTCCATTTGAAAGTTGATCATTCTCAGCGGGAAACTAGTAGTTCTGGCATACCACCTCAGGAGCTGACAATATCAGCAACCAGGGAAACTGAAAAGACAACTGGCAGTAGAGGCTCACCAGTTGTGAGAAACCTACCTTTACTATTTAGAGTTTACTTCAATGGAAGCCACTGGCTCTGATATACCACAGTAGGGAGCTGGAGGTTCTAGCATGCCTGTAGATTGGGGGCCAGCAGCTTTGCCATACCACCTTGGGGAGCTGACAGTATCAGCCAACCCAGGGAAGCTCAGAAGATAAATAGGGGCAAGGACTCACCAGTTGTGAGAAACCTGCCTACACTTTCCACCAGGGCTGTGGAGTCGGTATTAAAACCTCCAACTCCAGCTCCTTAAAAGCTCAATATGTATTAAAAATGATAAACCTTATAAAATGGTAACTGGTATGACAAGAAATCTCAACACCACCACGTTAATCATCAGGCTACTTTGTAGATTTGTAACATATATTTAAAATAGTGGTACAGTACAGGAGTATCAACATAATTTAAACTTAGAATTACAAAAGATAGAAAAAGGGCCTAATATTGAAGATGTATGGAACTGCATAAAGAATGCCATTTTAAATACAGCACATATAACTGTTGGAGAGACAAGAAGATCAAGAAATGAAGATTGGTATGATGATGAATATAGATCGGTCGCGGAACAGAAGAAGCAAGCTAGAATGAAATGTTTACAACGAAATACGAGAGCTAATAGAAATCTTTATAATGAAAAACGGATATTGGCCACCAGAATATGTAGAAAGAAGAAAAGAGAAGCGTTAGGAAGAAAGATCGACAGTATGATAGAACACCATCGTAGAAATGAAAGTAGAAAATTTCATAAGGAGCTTAAAGAAGTAACACAAGAATACAGACCTAAAGCTGTAGCATGTAAAGATAGTCAAGGAAATTTATTGACAGAGAACCGTGATATTGTTAATAGATG